TACCAAAAGAATGCATATAGAAGTTTCATTAGAAAACATCATGATTTTTGAGAAAATAATTAAGGTAGATAGTTTCATCTTAAACAATAAAGTAACCTTCTTGTTACGCATTCCAATAACCTATACTTACGAATTCGAATATTTTCATTTATATTCAATACATATCTATAAAAAGAGTTTATTTAAGGTTATTCTTCCGGAAGATAAATTCCTAATCAAAAACGAATTGCATTTCTCATATCAAAAAGCTGAATGCCTAAATTTAAGCGATCACTACTATCTCTGTGATCAAGCTGAGCTAAAAGAAAAAGGACAAAACGACTCTTGCACAATCCAATTGGAGAAAGTTAATGGACACACTCCCAATTGCCAACAGATAGAAGTTAAAATAAATACCCCTATATTCAACCAGTTAGACGACTCCAGCCGCTGGGCCCTCATCTTCCCTATGGATGAACGGATCCATTTGAATTGTCCAGTGCGTGAATATTTGAAGCTATTCGGAACCTATATTGCCCATGTACCAATAGAATGCAGCATTACTTCTAGCCAAGAATCAATCAGAATTCTTCGCCAACCCTTTCAAGATAGTACTCAACCAATACTATTTCCAGACTTCAATGATGAACTCAAAGAACTACCGCTACTGAACCTCGGCATACACAGCGAAGAGATCAAACTGGATGACCTTTTCAAAATCAAGAACCGCATCGAAAAAATAAACTCAAATTTCTTATCAAACAGTGTATATGATTTAAAACCGAGTATAATTTTATTGATTAATTTGAAACTCACGTTTTAAAAAAACACTTTATTTCAAAATTAATACAATATTCTTTATTATGTGGATGTAAATTTTGTGTGACCGAACCGGACTTAACCATAGGATGTCTATAAACTTTAACTTTTACTTTAACTGACATTAAACAGACCTGACCATAACGTCTTTAACTGAACTATCGTTCTGTTGGAACATATTTATTTCTCATTAGTGACTCATATGACTTAATCTAAATTAACCTAACTACGTAATCTAAACCTAAACCTAACAGTCTCTCTTGCTTCCTATAACTAACTTAAAGTTAGCCCATGGTCCTCGATGTGGTGCAGGAACTGGTCTTCGCATGTGGTCCACGTCTTCTTCTTAGACTGTGTCCGCA